TCACGTGACTGTAGCATTTGAGCATACATATTTATACTTAGCATGTCGTATAGGTCACATCAGGTGACTCTGATTCGTGTGCTAGCCTAGGGTTATGAGCTATTGTTCCAATCATACAGGTCACATTAAGTGACTCTGACTGGCATGTTATCTTACATTGTTTCTACACCTGGCTTACATGATTTAAACGTTATGAAATGGTATATTTTGGGTTTCACTGCTCTTGTGCGTTGTTTTATATATATGTAGTATTATTTTCTGGAAACTATACGGGTTTTACAGTGAGGGGTTACTATGTTCAGAAAAGATAAATGTGTTTTCAAACACTTTGTTTTTGCCCACTCATCCTTCTGTTTTGCGCCCCTCCAAGTTCTAGGTAGCTGATCATCTTTGGTGGCTTACGAGGACTTCTCGACGATTCTGACATTTCTATAAATAAATGTAGGGATTTTCTCCCTGGTTTGTATAATTAGTACTTGTTCAGTTTGACTGCATTTGTGATGCCTATGCTCTGAAACATTTGTAGCTTGAATGAGTTACTTCCACACACTTAGTATTATCTTTAGTATAGCTAAGTTTTAGTTGGTTTTTATTTTTATTAATACACCTTTTCTTATTATCATATACACTTTTGTTACGCACTTGGCTACGTCACCCTCACATGACGGCTAGCACGTCTTGACTTCGGTCGGGGTGTGTCAGCAATCGAGGGGCACAACGCGAAACGGTCGGACAGAGGAACACGAAGTGGGAGAGCTCGCATACGCTTTTCGAGTTGAAGGACCCGGAAGTGAACTGCGTGGCGGTGCGGAGCTAGCCAATATTCTAGGTCTATGAGGTGGATTTTGGATGGGGAAAACCCGAGGGGATGAGAAGCGGGTCGAACAATCAGCTCGACGGGATGGCGTATTTGTACCAGGGGAAGAGCGGGAGGAGGAGCATTGATGTAGAGATTAGCTTGCAGGCTCCAACAATGGAGAAGCTGGAGCAGGATAAGGGTTTTTCGTAGTGGTAACTATGGGATTAAAATTAATTAATTGGTTTTTTTTTTTTTTTTTTTTTCTAGTCAAAGTTTCTGTGTGGATTCAAGGACTATCTTAATGGGGTGTGTCAATTTCAGGAACCATTTGTGATAAAACCCTTAAATAGTTTGAATGATGATTTATGTAAAAATTTCCAAACCGACTAAAAACCGTGACACCCACATTTTTTTGTGAAAAATACAAATTTTCTCTTTTGGTAAAATATGTTTCGTGAGCATTAAGGAAAACTTTATAAGGCATTTGGAAGCGGTTTTACAGTTTTTTGAGCAATTAATGTATATTCAGTACAATACTTAACACAAAAACTAAGATAATAAGTGAAAAATAGAGTTGTGAGGCTCAATACATTGTTAAAATGGGGTTCCACCCTTAAGAATATCAACGGAAAGTCTTACTTTAACTTTCAAAACTTAAAGGTGAGCCGAAGGTGAAATAAATAGACTCAATGATGATTCATGTAAAAACTCGCAAAACCGACTGAAAACTATGACCAACCCACATTTTTTTGTGCAAAATGCAAATTTATTCTTTTCGCAAAATATTTTCCGTGCGTTTTAAGGAAAACTTTATAAGGTATTTAGAAACGATTTTAAGGTTTATTGAGTTATAAAGGTATATTTAGTATAATATTTAAACCGAAAACTAGATAAATAAATGAAAAATATAGTAGTGAGGCTCAAAATGTTGTTAAAATGGGGTTCCATCCTCAAGAATATCAACGGAAAGTCTTATTTAATTTTCAAAACTTCACGGTGAGCTGAATGTGAAATAAGTATGTTGAACTATGATTTATGTACGAATTTGCAAAATCAATACCTACGTTTTTTGTGAAAAAAGAGAATTTTTTATCTTCGCAAAATATTATCTGTGAGCTTTAAGGAAAACTTTATAAGTGATTTGGAAGTGATTTTACGATTTATTGAGTAATAAATGTATATTTGGTATAATATTTAAGCCGAAAACTATGAAAATAAATGAAAAATAAAGTAGTGAGGCTCAAAACATTGTTAAAATGGGATTTCATCCTCAAGAATATCCATAGAAAGTCTTACTTAAATTTTGAAAATTTCATGATGAGGTGAAGGTGAAATAAGTAGGTTGAGCTATGATTTATGTACGAATTTGCAAATCAACTAAAAATCGAGAGTGTTAGCCAACTTTTTTTTGTGAAAAATGTAAACTTTTTGTTTTCGCGAAATATTTTCCATGAGCTTTAAGCAAAACTTTATAAGGCATTTGTAAGCGGTTTTACGATTTATAGAGTAGTAAATATATATTTAGTGTAATATTTAAACCGAAAATTAGGAAAATAAATGAAAAATATAACAGTGAGGCTCAAAAAATTGTTAAAATGGGGTTCCATCCTCAAGAATATCAACGGAAAGTCTTACTTAACTTTCAAAATTAACGGTGAGGCGAAAGTGAAAATAAATTATTTGAATAATGATTTATGTAAAAATTTGCAAAACCAACTAAAAACTGTGAGTTTTAACCAACATTTTTTGTAAAAATGCAAATTTCTTATTTTCGCGAAATATTTTCCGTGATCATTTAGGTAAACTTTATAAGGCATTTTGAAGTGATTTTATGTTTTATTGATCAATAAATGTATATTTAGTATAATATCTGTGTTGAAAACTAAGAAAATAAGTGAAAAATACAATAGGGAGGCTCAAAACTTTGCTAAAATGGGGAGTTCCATCCTCAAGAATATCAATGGAAAGTCTTACTTAAATTTTAGAACTCCATGGTGAGGCGAAGGTGAAATAAGTACGTTGAACTATGATTTATGTACGAATTTGCAAAACCAACTAAAAACCATGAGTATTAACCTTTTTTTTTTTTTTTTTTTTTTGTGAAAATGCGATTTTTTTTTTTTTTTTGCGAAGTATTTTCATTGAGCTTGAAGGAAACCTTTATAAGGCATTTGAAAGCAGTTTCACAGTTTTTTAAGCAATAAATGTATACTCAATGTAATATTTAACTCGAAAACTAAAAAAATAAGTGAAAAATATAGTTGTGAGGCTCAAAATATTGTTAAAATGAGGTTCCACCCTTAAGAATATCAATGGAAGATCTTCTTTAATTTTTAAAACTAGACGGTGAAACGAAAGTGAAAATAAATAGTTTGAACGATGACTTATGTAATATTTTGCAAAAGCGACCAAAAACCGTGAATGTTAACCCATAATTTTTGTGAAAACTGTAAATTTCACCAAATGTTTTCTGTGAGAATTAAGGAAAACTTTATAAGACATTTGGAAGCGATTTGAGCCACAAATGTATTTTAATAGAATAAGTGAAATACAATATTAAGGTCCAAAGCATGAACAATACTTGGCTACTCAAAGATGAGTAAGAACTCCTACTCATAACTTTTAGTATTTTAATCACAAAGCTTTATGCTTATGATCACATTGTAAGGATCATCTCTGTAAAAATAAATTAAAATTAAGGTCGTTTAGACAATCTATTGTAGCAAATACATAAACGGTCCGTAATGCTTTTACCAATTCCGATTATTTGTTTTTAAAGAGTTTGATGACTAAACGATCTTAGTTTTAATTGATTTTTTGCAAAGACGATCTTCATAGGATGATTTATAATATGAACAGTTCTAATTATAAACATAAAGTTCTATAAATTGACAACGAACAATATTGAGAATTTTGAGTAGAAGTTCCTACTCATCTTTGAGTAGCCAAACATTGTTCCCAAAGCATTGCCAAAATGGATTCCCACTATCGAAGGAATTACTCACATTAGTTTTCAAAACCTTTTGGTGGGATGAAGGTGAAAACAAATACATTAAATGATGATTTTTGTAAACCGACTAAAAAGAAAAAAATGTTATCCCGTGCCTTTTGAAAAACTTTATAAGACATTTGGAACAGTTTTACCATTTATTGATTCACAAATGAATTTTTATAAATTAAAAAGAATAGTAGTGGAACTCTATGCATTGCCATAACTATGAACACCGAACGGAAAGTCCTACAGAATCTTCTTCACTCATTTCCAAAACCCATAGAAAAATGCGAGTTTTGTTTTATATTCACGAAATATTCTCCATGAGATTAAGGCGGGCATTTAGGAGTTTCTCCATTTTTGAGCCATAAAACAAAATATAAGTATTCCCAAACCATTGCCAAAGCAGATTTCTGCCCCCAAGAACATCTTTAAATCGTCCTACCTGAAATTTCAAAATATTAAAGAAAACTTTATAAGGAATTTGAAACCAATTTTACCTTTTAATAAGCCACAAGTATCACTTTTATAGAATAGATCAGCTGAAAACCGAGCAATAAATAAAATAATTAGTAGTAAAACACCAAAAAAAAAAAAAAAAAAAAAAAAGTAGTGAAAAAATGAATGGTTTTTGCAAAAAATTCAAAACCGGTTAAAAATCGTGAATGGTTTGCCAGCATTTTCCGTGGATTAAAACATTTTACGACAGTATGTGTTAGCAGGATCTCACTTGGGGCAACTAATCACAATGAGAGATTTTAAACCACTACTTTCTAATCATTACAATAATTTCACTAAAATCTTAAAAAATAAAAACCTGTAATCAAACCCCGAGATAAAAACAAAAGGTAAAAGACCAGTTGCAAAAACTCAAGACTTTGACGACAAATTGTAAACAGTTACATGTTAGTGAATTACATGACTTGACCACCATGTTATGAGGTCGATTGAATTTTCTCATGCCAGATATAGGTCATACATCACCAAACGTATTTTATGTTCAGAAAAAAGTTAAACGCACAAGATCACTGATATAACAAAACCGTATCACATACCGCACAAGACAATTTTGTGCCAACGAGAACTTCACTCCTAAAATTGTTCCGACAGCTTTCGTCCTCTTCCATGCAAGGATTGATGCGTATCATGTAAAGTTAAGTTCCGACACCACCCTTACCCACATCAATCCATATGGATTACACTAAATGATGACAACGGATGCTGGAAATCAGCCCACCAGTCTCTTTAATTGAAGTCGAATTCAAGATAGCAGGAGTGACTACTTAAATCAGACACTCCTCTACGGCCAAATATTTAAGTAACATGCAGGTAGCTATATCTTAAAAACAAAGTAAAACATACCTCCCAAACATACCTCTTAAACACGAAGTTGAGAAAAACTAAGCAGCAGTCCTTATACCCATCACAGGAGAAACAGCTCAACTCCAGCAAAAAACACACAATTTGGAATAACCATAATTTTATCTTGGTACATGAGTTTAAAAACTGACCTAGATAAGAACACAAACATCCTTTTCTCCACATGCAGCACAGCAAGGATCACCTAGTACCGATCATAACGCCTGGAAGAACAAATTATTATATCAGACAACGATCACTAAAAGGTATCCACTTGTTCGACATACATATACAGGATAAGGAAAATCTCTTAATCACTAAAATCACTAATGCAATCAATTACCAACATGGCTTGTGGTCAATAAAAGGTAGCCCCTCTCTAATAGACCAATGACTTTAATAGGCAAGACTATGAAAAATGACAATTGGGAAGAGTACACAGGTTGACAAGCCTCCAATTCTCTCATAAAAATGCTGGTCAAGGCATGTTATAAACTAACAATTAAAAGCACTAGGCCTATTTTCAAAATAATAAAAAGCTCATAGCTCTTTTCAGTAAAGAAATACTAAAAAAAAAAACCTATTAAAGACAATAATTTCTGAAAGTATCGCATGTGTTTTGGTGCTTTGTTTATTAGAGTTTCAAGAACAAAAAACTAATTGCATGTCAAATAAACAGAACTAATTAAAAATCAGCCACCATGGAAGAGCACGCACCTGTGGCGATCATAATCCCTGGAACGTTCCCTCGATCGTGAGCGTGACCTACGGCGACTTCTCGAATCATAATTGCGGGAGCGATCTGAATCTCTGTCACGATCGCGATCATATCCACGATCTCGATCATAGTACCTATCGCGATCTCTGCTCCTACGATCATAATCCCTACCCCGGTCCCGGCTAGCTCCACGTTCTCTATCCCTACTTGATTCCCTTTCACATTCCTTACTTCGCTCCTTTGATCTACATGGTAAATAATTATAAAAATAAAATAAAATAAAAAGGAATTGTAATTATAAGAACTTAACATAAAAAATAAATTATGAATAAAAATTTATATAAGACTAAAAGAGCAAAATAACATACCTCCTATCATCAGACCTATCAACCTTACGACTCTTGTTTCTCTCTTCCTGAAATATAAATAGCCAAAAAAGTACAATCGGCAAACCTTTTAATAGGATGGCACGAAACACCAAATCTCTTGGTGGAGAGATATAACATGGTCATATTTGGTAAGCACCATTCAAGATCAAAATTAACGAAAATTAGCAACTCGGGATGCTCACTGATAAAGTCAACATGTAAAACACTTTCACGGTGACTTAAAAAATCACTTAGATATCCATCAACATTCCTTTTTTCAACAGTCATTTGACTATTGTAGGGAATGGCAAATATAGATGGTGACTACAACCAAACGGGTGTATTGTGTACTCTTCTCATAGGTACACAAGCTATAATCCAACATACTCTTAAAATTCTTCAAAAAAGGAAAGTACTTTGTCGGCAGTAAACTTACTACTATCAAAACAGAACTTAAACAGTGTGGCCTCAGTACACGATACAGTGAGGAAAGCCATTCCTAATTCATAACCTATATATGTTATGCATGCACCCATCTTAAAGATGTCGCTGACAAAAAACATCCTACAACAAAAGTATATGAATACATCCTCGCAGCATATAATAATTTTTTCCCCCAAAAATGCTTCGTAATCCTTAAGAATATCTGATAAGTGCAAGACTTGGACAACTTGACTTCAGAGAACTATGAATTCAGAGTCAATAATTATATCAGTGAATAAGATGGTAGAAAATTTTATACTCACAGATACCACATTTATGAGAATCTCTATAGATTTGAAACATTATACCATAGCGCCTGAACCAACAGCTTCAGAATACAAACTTAATGAAATTCAAAGATTTTGCAGATAAAAATGTAATACTATGACAACATATTTTCAGATCTACTTTGGCCAAAATGTAGAAACGTATTTGTCGAAACAGTATCCACTATCCAGTACAAATTTCCAGTTCTTCGACCCATTTTTTAACCAACAAAAAAAATGACATAATTACAAAATGGATCATCTTTACCTGCAGCTCTGCTAACTTCTCACGGATTTGTATATAGCCTAAATGAAGCTTCCCGCCAAAGTGGTCAGCTAAACGACGGTCACTGAAAACCACAAGAAAAAAAAATCAGAATATTCATTTAATTCAGAAATGTAATAGCCCTAACAGGTCATGTTCATGTACCGTTGATTCCCCTTAATTTTTCTAGCCAAGAATAGCATGATCTATAAACATAAAACAAAAATAGACGCACATTCTTTAGCTGCAAAAGTTATCCTCGTAAAACTGGGCACAAGAGCCTGCTGGTGACAAGGAGGCATAATCGTTGGGTCAAAAGATGAAGCACTTGAAACCCCAAATACTAATTTTTGCGTGCCTAGGACAGCTAGTAACTAAGGTAGCAAGCAGGACTACACAAATCAACCTTTACCTGTCATAAACACTCAAAAATGCTCCACAGATGTCACAAACGCGTAGCTTTTGATCAGTCTGAAACAACACCATGATGAACAAGTTAAGAGTTGCTTGAAAGAAAAAACAAGAGTTGCACAACAGTATAACCCTGATATTAAATGAAAATCTACTCCTCACACTTGCCCAAAGTGATATCTATGAGTATAGATAAAGGAAAAATGAACTCACAATACGAACATCAGCAGCAGTGTACTTGGAGGAATCCACGATAGGCTCTTGTCTGGCAGGCAGCTAAACAGAGAATAATGAAGTCACTCAGCAGCCATTTACAGGAAGTAAAAAAGAACACAAAAATGCAAACTCAGAACAAAAGAATGATGTTAAAAGGTTAGTAGAGTAGGTGAAACACTTAATTACCATCCCCAAAATATTATTCTCTTATCTAATAATACCTTCTTCAGTGCTTCAGCCTCTTCCAACGCCTTCTGTGCTTCATCAACCATACCTTGCTCACCTGAAGATGTTAAAGAGGTTTAGGGACAACATATAACCTGATTCTTAAGACATAAAATAGCCCTAGCTGTATCAGAGCATTAACTAGTTAAATTAACAAAGTCCTTACTCTGAACTTAATAAAAAGATATGTATTCTCAATTGATAAACCACATGACAGGCCAAATCCAGAAAACTTGAATATTCATTTCACTTACCAAGGTCCTCTGCCTTCTTCAACTTTTCATTTATCATTTCCTGTGTTCTTGCATCAGGAACAACTACAGGCAAGGGTGCCAAAGGAGGTGGGTTTGGCAGGGGTTGAGGTAAAGCTGCCCGGTCCTTATTGAAAGCGTCCAGAAGTAACGTGGACTATTAATAGGGAAAAAAACATTTAAGTCAAGGTGCCGACAAACTTGTCAACATGTCCACAACATCAGAGAATAATACACTGGAGCAGCATAAGATATTCCAGTATACAAATAAAGTTGTCAATAACTTACTATGTACCTGTTTATCTGCTCTAATGCCTCTGAGTTCTTCTACTATCTCCAAAGCCCGAATCTTAAGATCTGTTTTGCCTTCAAGATCTGCAGATTTGAATCACAAAATAAAATTTCTAATACATATTCAAGAACTGAAAATTATAAGAACTGAACTTTTTTTGGTAAATAAAGACAAACTGGAAACAAAAGGCTTGAAAACATAAGATCGGCAGTCAAAGTAACTGTGGAAATGTAGTACAAAAGTCAAAATTTAAGTATACATCTGAGTGACTCATTGACTTTAGTGGATTAACAAATCTTAAAAAGCAATGTGAACCATTTATGTATTGTTAAAAACACACATCCACACACACAACATCGAGCAAACCAAAGATAGGGTATGCTTTGATTTGAAATAGCAATCTAGAAAAAAGAAAAATAACAAAGGTAAAAGAGACATCAGTAGCTACGGAGCATTTATCTAAAGGTTACCATATTGATCAACTTCTTTCAACTTCTCCTTGATCTGCTTTGACAACTCAAGTATCTCTGGTGTCTGGAATTGCAAAAGAATCAATAAATAGGCAGTCTATAAGATTCTTTTACCTTATATATAAAGAAAAGATAAAGATAATAGATAGAATGATGGACCACCTGAGTAACTTCAGAGACAGAAATGGCAATAGCAGCCTTGGCATCATCATCCTCGAGGCGCTTAAGAGCTCTAGTAATTTTCCTATCACACTCAACAATGAGCCTATCTATGACATCCTCCAGGTCTCTGTCATAGTTATCAGTCCCTTTTGCTTTTGCTTCTTCGTATCTGGGTTAGAGTTAAGCTTCCCTAGTGGTATCATCGAATTGTATAAACAACAATATTTCCATTTCAGAATTTCAAATGCACATCAATTATTAAATGAAATTGAAGTAATCAATTGCATTAAAGGATACTCTTTTCTGAGCTGCAAAGAGTGGACCTTAGGGCACGGACCCATATCCATTTTCTGAGAACGAAAACAACAAACGCCATCAAAGTTGACGATTACGGCAAAAGGCCTCGTGCTATTAAACAAAAAATGCCAAGGGGTTTGATTTACCGTTAACTGAAAAAGCTCGTGGGGGCAGAGGCCGACCAAGTAGAGGCGACACACATCGCGATCGTAATACTTGCGGTTGACCTCCCGAACGTCGCCATTTCGGTTGGCCCCCATGAGCTGGTCGAGCTGCTTCCTCAGCGCGTCCATGGCCGCTCACAATCCCTCTCCAGTCGTCGTCCTCTACGGCTTTGGAATTGGTGACTTTTCAGTTGGCGTTTTGGGTTTGCTCAGAGAGAGAATTTAGGGCTCGTCTGTTGCGGACTTGGAGGGTTTGGGGAAAAAAGAATACTCGGGAGGATTTGGAGTGTGTTTATAATATTTGTTTTCCTGATATGCCCTCGTGAGTTAATATATATTAAGGCCGGCCCAGGCCCATTACGATTTTCACTTTTTGGGCCCTATTATCGTTCACCTCCAGTCCTCACCCTCTCTCCTCCTCACAAAAGTCGCGGACTTCAACTGAAACTCGATGGCGCTCTCTCGCTCCTCCTCTCAGTCGTCCCACCGGCGGTTGATCTTCGTAATCTCCGCCGTGCTCTGTATTACAGTAGCAGCAGCTTTCCAATCCGATGAGCTCCTGGTGGACGACGAGGAGTTCGGTCTAGAAGGAGGGCTGCACACCAAGTCTCCTGATCTCACATTCACACGACCCACGCCTCCGCCACCATCGACAACTGCATCGACGACCCGGAAGAGGTTTTCGGATCTGGATTCGGACTCAAAGATCCAGTTCCAGCTCGATCACGCCTTTGGGGACTCTGATTTCTCGCCGGCTGGTACCTTCAGTGCTCGCTTAAAGACCTGGAATCACGGGGGTCAGGTTGGTTGCTTCCTTCTTTTTAGTTTTTTTCTTGTATGTTTTGGTTGCTCAGAAAAGGAGGAAACTTTTTTGTGAACGAGAGAGTTTTCAACTGCAATTTCAGGTTTTGCAGTTGGATTTGGTTGTCATTGAATTGGGGTTCAGGTTATTGATGATTTGAGATCGCATTCTATATTTTGAACCGGATTTGTTTGTCTTGTAAAACGGTTGCATAGAAATTTAGGCGAAAACCGAAAAGAAAGGAATGTATTGTTGATAAATTCTTTAGGTGCAACGCAATGGATGCAAGCACATGATGATGAACTTAGGAATTTTACTTAAGACTAGTAACTTTAGCACCTATACGATCACTGTGTCAGGCTTAGTTTTTCCTACTTAAGCACTCTCATGCCTTGTATATCACGTTATATTTGTAGAAACCTAAGAAGTAGCTTAACTATGACATGGCTGTATTGGTCACAGACACTCACAAAGCTGCGGTTTTCGAGGAATGCCTTTACCGAAGAGGAGAAGGAGAAGTTTGCAGTAAGCTTTCTCCTCTAAACTTGTCCTTTTTGCTTTTATCATTTCCAATTGGTTTCTGTCTTTATTTGAAATGTCAATGTTTTTTCTTGCAGTTGCTATTGAAGGGAGATGACTTCTATAGGATAAGATTGCCATCAAGTGTTTTGAATCCTCCTGGGAGGGATTATGTCATTTCGTCTGTAAAAGCGGTAAGTCTTAAGTGCCCTCTGTTAAGCAAGGATTTGGTTCTATTATTTCCAGCAGATCATATCCTTTTCTAATTGTGTTTCTTTGCACCATCTTGTATATTTGCAATCTGAAACTACGCTTGAAAAAAGATGTTCCTGTAACTTTTTTTGTTTTCTGTCAGAGTAACTTCTTTTGATCATAATTACTACTGTAATAGCATTGTAGCTGTACATGCTGTTTATCTCTGATGGTTTTATGATTACGTGTATATGTGATTTAGTAAAGCTGCAGGTATACTAACAATGTTTCTAAATATCCAGAGATGTCTTCCACGAGAGGGTTTGGATGAGCATTTTGTTATACACACGGTAACCTTCAAATTTGATCGAGTTGTAAACTCTTGCTGTTGTTTTTCACATGTTACCCTTTGGTTTTACTTCTAAACTCCTATGTATCAGTCACTGTAATCTTAATGGGAACAGTTCGAAGAATGTTCTCCAATCAGCATGATTTTCAAATTAGACCCAGAGATAAATGGAACACAATCTTGGTTAATTTTTTTTTATCATATGGAAATTTTATCTTTGATTAAATTTGTATTTGCAGGATGGAATTAACATTTTGGCAGTTAATTATGGTTCTGCTGGGGCATGTCCATACCCTCGGCAAATGAAACTTGTAAGTTGGGATCAACCCTTTTGTTCCTGGTCTTTTTTGTTCATGAACCTAAGATGACTGAAATACGATACCTCAAACCCTATTTTTGAGGATGTAAATAGAGTTTTGTTGAATTAGCATACCTTAATTCAATGGCTTTTGTTATTTGTATTTTCAGCCTGGAAAATGGTCCTTTAACTCTCACACGGTTTTGAAGAATAGTGAGCAGGCACCAAGGTGAATTTATTTTGCATTTGTTCTTTCTCCAGTATATGTTCTGATCCTGGCATGGTCTGCTTGCTTAAACTGTCACAGAAGGTTTTAAATTATTTCAACTTCTGTCAGTAGAAAATGGTGAATCTTATTATCTAAGAGAATAGACGGTGCATTGGTATCAATTCTGTTGATTTCGATTATTTTCTGGTTATGGGTAGAAAATGTGGCTATGAAATTGCCATTTAATCTGGTTGATCTGCATTATATATGGGGGTATGTGCGGCGGATCAGTAATGTATGGAATGATCCAGTTGCCTGAAGTTAAATGCTGATACTATTTATAGGTTCATCATTATGCTGATCATCATGTCTTTGTAAATATCGTATTGCCAAATGTTTCCACAGAGCTCCAGTGTTTGCTGAGGATATTCTTGGGGTTGGGGGCGAGGTAGGAGAAGGTGAAATTATACCACCACCAGAAAGGTCTTTTTGGGCTAAATATGTGAGTATCGACAGAATTAATTGTCTCCGTAGCATTCTTCTGTTAATTGTGCTGATAATGACGACAGAATAAATTCTGACCTTACTCAAATGTTATCAGTGGATGTACGCGATCCCTCTTGGGCTCATTGTCATGAATGCCATTACCCAAGCAATGAACATGGCGGAGGAGGGTGCTGGTCAGCCAGCTGGCCAAGCTCAGCAGCCAGCTGCAGTCCAGCGTGGGTCAAGTTCTGCTGTGCGAAGGCGATAGACGGTTTGCACATTTCTATTTAACAATGTGGCGTCACCTGAAGTGAATGACATTTTAGGTTCAGCCTTTTAATTGTATTAATCCCGTGGGGACAACACGAGGTTGTAAAGTTTTAGAAGTTTTGTTATAATTTGCAATAGATGTTTAACGGTTGAATTGGTGAAGATTTCGGGATTAGCATTATAGATAATTTTGCAGGTATTGATAACTTATTGTGCTGATTGGTGCTTGATAGAAGGTCAAGAAACAATGATATTGCAAGCTATTAACTGTAACCACTTCATGAAATGGCATACCAATGCTTGCAAAAAACGTAAAGCAAGCAAATGAAATGATATCTTGGCACTTGTGCGAATTGGCATGCCCTCGTTGTTTGGGTGGAAAGCTTCCACCCATAACTCATTGCCGCTGCGGTCGACTTGGTTCTTAACCAATTTTGGGAAGGAATTATCCCAAATCTTTTGGTCCAAGGAAACCTGTCTATCAAAAGCCATCAAATCCATTCATTTGATCATCATCTGATACAGCCGCATAGCCCCGATGAGATTCAAACCTAGGCACATCCTAGTTCCAGCTGGTTCTCCAACCCTGTATTATAGGTGCCGGCAACCGACCAGTACAACAGACCATTGTAAACCACTCTTGCAGCTGTAATAATCACGTTGTTAAAATGCCGTTTTGCAGCACACATCATTGTACACAACGGCAGGCTCGTCGTCTTCAAACATAGGCGTATCTTGAAAACAAGGGAGGTAACTCGGACAACCTGCGTGATTTGAGCGCGGAAGTTTGGATAGGGTGTGGAATTCGGAAGTAAATACAGATAGAGGACAAGGATAATTTGTAACCATATGAAGGAACAAAAGAGTAGAGGCACGTCACAATACCGTCCGTCCTGCTCAAATTATAACATGTGGACTTGTTTTTTATTATAAACAATTACATGCGGAAGCTAACTTTATGATAAATACATTATACAGAATACATTCAGAAATAAAGTTACACGGCCAAGGACATTTTAAAACATGAAGGAAAAGTGACTGCATTTCTCGGAAACGAAGGCAGAAAAAAAGTGACTATCAATCTCTTCAAAACGAAACCGCGAGGAAGATGGGCGGTGGGTGGAGGAAATCCAATCATAGCTCGTCCTGCAACCGCAGACCAATGAGTAAATAAATTTGTGCGCGTGCAATAAAATCTTGAGTTTATTTATACAAATACAGAGAGAGCACGAATATTGGTGCTTACATGATCATAGTCATCCCAGTGACGGTGCTGCAGGATAAAACATCCAAAGTTAGAAGAAGCAGGCAAGAAAAACACTCAAGTTACAACTTAAATCACTGAGACTACGTCAATTTATTGCAACGAAATGTCCAATTATTTGATCATGGGGAGGGGGATTCGAACTTGAGGCCTCTTTCAACATTGGGAAGAGGATATCATGAGACCGAGAGCTAACTGGTTAGGCAAGATGAGATTTGAATGCCTTTTATTGCAAAGGTGATCATAGAAAAAATCTATACTGGATGAAAGTTGTAAGAAAGTTCTAAAAAGATTCAAACACACCCTTCGGTATCTGTCTCTATGTCTATCCCGGTGACCTCGATCCCTATCTCTTCTCCTCCTTTCGCCCTCTTCTCTTGCTCTTTGAGCTTCCTGCACAATAGGAGCTCAAAAACTAATGAATGGAATTCAACTAAACCTGACAGGAAATTCTAATAACCATTTATGTCGGCCACGAACCTCTTCCTCTTGTGCTTTTCTCCTTTTTTCTGCTTCTTCAAGGGCATCCTTTTCGACCTGAAATGCCATAAGAGAAATGCATATGATGAAATGTATGCCAGAGAACTGGAGAATACTAGTAACAGTCAAAAAAGGCTTACCTCTCTATTGGAGAAAACTTCCTCGACCACTTGTTTTGCATAATCGGGATCATCACAAATTAAAACGTTGTCGAAAACTGAACCAGCCTTTACCTGCATCGCATTATTTCACCCCCTTTAACATAATGAACTAATGATCATACGATCCTCTAGCAAATGGAAAACGTCCTACCTGCCAAACTTCGATACCAACATACTTAATTGGCTTAAGCACGTAGAGATCAGGATCATCTTCAAACTCTGCATAGGAGAACAAAAATGAAACTCAGCATCTTTTTTTTCCCCTCTAGAATTGCCGTTGTAGTTATGTACACCAATCTAGACAGATAAATTATATAGTTATCTATTTAAAGTTACCTGGATTATCAATCCAAGGAATCTTCCATTTCCCTTTGTAATTAGGGTTCTTGATTTTCTGACATATCAGAAGAAATCACACGGTAATTAGAAACTGCGGAAAAGAATCGACATCCGGTTTTTCAGATACGGGAGCATTTTTGCTCACCACCATAAATATAATGTATGCTCACCATGCAACTAATCAATTGACACGTGTCCTTTCACCTAACTCTAGTTAACTTTCACATTAAATTTTACTTTTTAAATTTTGAAAAAAAAAATTAACCAAGGTTAAGTGAAAGGAGACGTGTGAATTAATTCGGTGTATGGTGAGCATACACCATAGTTTATGGTGGTGAGCAAAAATGCACCCTATCTGCTACCTCGCAAAACCTTACTCAACCCACAGTACCAACCTTGGGTCTCCATGGTCCTTTGTAAGCTGGATTTGGTATCTTTGGAGCTTTCCACAGACCGTTCTCTTCATCATCCCAGTCTTCGGGCTAATTAGAAGAGGGAAAACACAAAACTGCTTGATTAAAATTCATAACTTGCCACATGTATGCATCAAACCCCAGGAGGAAAACACTAAAAATCAAACTAGAAAAGGGGAAGCTAATATTATAAAACACAAATAAGAGTCCAAAATCAAAAAGATCAAACAAATGTCGGGTATATTACAGCTCCGTAACTAATCAACTAACCTCTTTTGCTTTTGGATCTGGAATTTCTCTCGGAATTGAATCATATCCCTGCAATACCAAAGATATGCGTCAATAGTAGCACGTAATACATCCACTGAACAGATGTCTCAGAGACAAGCATTAGGAAGAGACGAAAAAAAGTTCCCATACCTCAGGTTTGATGTGATTAGGATCATCAATGTATTCTCTAAGATCCCAGTCTGCTGGCTGTAATGGACAAAAAATGATACTTTTAAGTTAAAATACGAAATTGTAAAGAGTTAAATTTTATAACTTAATTATTTTTAAGAAAAGGTTGCTCAAAAGATTTCCTGGAGTTTTGAGAACATTGCAATATAGTTAGTTAGAACCCCTTTCTAACTAATCATGTTTTATCTACCTTCTTTGCAGTAACATCTTTTATCTTTCTTGGAGGAAGAATATCCCAATCTGTGTACATGCTTCCAGAATCCTTTTCTCGGTTGTCTATTAGGACACTATAAGTTGCATCTGGTCGAAGAATGAACGTGTAGAAATGAGTCAACTTGTCAGTTTCACACTCTAAGGCCTTCTTGATGGGGTAATTCTGGCCTTGGTAGGAGAGTATGACATGGAGCTTCTTTGTGTCTGTGCCACATATATCGGGGCCAAACATTAAACTACACACAAAAAGTTCAGCAAACAGTCAGAAATTTGGAAAAGAGAAGAAGAAAGAACGTCATACATAAACAGGCAATCTGGCCTCTTATATGTCGGCAATTTCTATGGTATCAGATACCACCGAAAATTCCCTATATGAAGTATGAACTATACAGAGCAATTTGAGGAACCTCATTGTGGCAGTTCAGTCTACAAAATTTAGAAAAGGTGCTCTTTGATTAAGAAACGAGTTTCAAATTGCTACTATAAAATGATCATGTGTCATCCAACTGACTACCAAGTGTTGCGGAATGGTGATTAACTAAAAAGAATTTCTACATGCACAACCTGGCCACCATTCACATACGGTATATATACACTGACATATGGCTGCATTTGACCACTACGAAACTCTCATCATATGAAAAAACTACAGCTAGAAAACCAAATGTGCCTGTAATAAGTCCTTTTCAACTACATTGTGTTCTTAAGAATGAAGGACTGGATCATACGAACATGCCTCAAAACATTTCATCCTGCGACGTAGAGAGTTGAAATTCTAACCTGTACGGAGTGTCCCCGCCAAATTTCTTCTGATTAACAAATCCAGACATAAGCTTTATGTAACCGCCGCCACATTCAATTTCCTGCTCAAACTTGATCGAGTATTGGAGGACCAACGTCCTGTTCCGATTGCTGAACTCCGGTATCTTTGCAGATATGGCAAAATGCTTGGCATCATTCGATGTCTGAATTCCTGCAAGATTTCGTGTGCCATGACAAATGAAAACCACAAGTTTAACCACCTTGACTGTTGGTAAGTTATCACCAGCCTACGGCGCCCCAAAGTTAAAGTTGAAAAGACAAACATATAAGACAAGAATTATTGTTACCAAGGCATGTCAAATAGTAGTAAGATGGATGGATCAAATTGGAGAGCTCAAGAGTTTGAGTTGGCTGGCATATCATATGTAAATAATTAAGAAGAAACAAGCAGTGATGAATGAATAATTGGTAATCAGAAGATACCTTTATCATCGTGGTCACCGGCCCACCTTCCGGCTGTGTGTTTAAAGGAACCTGCTTTACCTTCACTGCTTTTCCAGTCGGATTTCACCCAACGGCTTCGCCATCCGTCGTCTACTCCAAAACAAATCAAGATTAACTGATTAATTTTCCGGTGGAATGAAAGATGAAAGATATATTCTTGGTCTTACTTGTTACTTTTTACATGTTGTTCAAACACAGACAGTCAAGTCAACCAACCAACTGTACAAAAGTTGGTTATTACCAGCTTACTGCGGCCCAAAATTTATTTATTTTTCGACGAAAAAGAAAATCATAGATATTTTGTCAGATTCAGAGAGAGAGGAGATAGGGAAACTGGGAAATGAGAGTTAGACAGTTAGCCTCAGCATTCAACCAGAACAAAGTTAGCAAAGTAGTGAAAAGGAAAAATCTCAAGCAGAAAGTAAATAGATTTAAGCGAAAGTTGGAAGTGGGAGGAGAGAAAAGGATGGATACATACCGTCGAAGCGCTCCTCGAAAATGATCTCCGAAAGCGAAGAACGAAAGCAGAAGGAGAGCAAGGAGAGTGATAATAGTAGCAGAAGCAGCTCATCATGCTTTTGCCGCTTCGCCATATTTGCCTGCGCAAGTGTAAGAATTGCAATGGCAAAAGCCAAAAGCCAAGAGCTGAATGGGAGATAAGTGTTTGCGTTATTGGTTTACTTATAGCAGGGGATGCAAAAGCTTGCCCCCAAGTCTCCCATGTAATTTCGGGGATGCCCTCCCAGTCCCCTTCCCTTCCCCTTCCCCTGAGAAATGAAAAGTGGAAGACTGACTAGTCTGACTTAGTTTATTGTTGGAGTGAGTTGAGTCGTCATGTGGGGTACAAGTCTGCGTATGCCGTGGTGTTTGGGAGAGACTCTGACCTCCTTCTCTCTTGACTTGGACTTTTATATGCATTCAACCAATCAGAGAAGAACGATGCGTTGCACCACCCAATCAAAATTCTTGGAATTTAAATCTTACGACATTAATTATTATGTATTGTTTTGTCATAAATTCGATAATGTGAATGATTATACGATGAATTCCTCGTCGGTGCGCCCAGCCCAGCCGCTGCACAATCACAAATTAATATTTTATAGGAAATCTTAATGAAAATTTCGGTATTGTTCTATTTTTACCTTTAAAAGTCACTCATGTTATCATTCACTCAGACTTTTATTTTGTCATTTTGATTAAAAACTAAAGTTTTTTTTTAGAACTTTTCGTTAATTTTCCTTATTTTATATGTATATTATTATTTGATAATGTGAAACAAACCGATAATATACATTAAACTAATCTAAGCTAAATACGAACACACTGTTCTAACTAACTTAACTAAGCAAGTTTGAATATATAATTAGTCTTTCATTGTTTCGTTAATACGTGGCAGGTTACATTTCACATACAGTTAGTATTATCCAAAATAAGAGGACTAGACTAGAAGGTGAAGAAATTCGCTACAACTACAACTAGGAAGACAATGCTCTGCAATTAATCATGACAGACTGTACGAGTTAGGAGAGCAAGATTTATGGCTTGTTTGGATGATGTTTTTGGAGATTTAAAAACGTCCCCTAATAAGTGAAAGCATTTTCATTTAGAAAAATAGTCGATTGGTAATATTTTTAAAGGTGTTTTGGATAAGAAGTAAAAGCACTTAAAGAGTGGTTTTTTGAGAAGTCTTTTTTTTAATCTCTAAAGTGTTGCCAAGTGAAAAACCGTGAAGCATTTGGTCCCTTTGATGAAGTTTTTCAACTCCGTAACTACCCCTATTTTTTAAGTTGAAAATTCTACAAAATATCAAAATTGTTTTAGACTCTCTGGGATTGTCGACTCGTCAGAGATTTCCGACGGCGACCCTCTTGCAAGCCTCCTTTCCGTCGAATTATTCCCCACCCCAAGATCCCTCTGATTCAACCAGCCCAGTGACATCGTCCGGCGACCCTCACCCCTCAACACCTCTCTCTGGATGCAGTGATTGCATTGAGATGAACTTGATGCATATCTAGTAAGAGGGAGAAAGACGAGCTCCTTGGAAAATAATGTCCTTAATTTATCACCACTGAACTGCATTTTTCATTTGGCAGCCAAACACTATACCATAGTATTAAAAGCGCTTCTGTGCAATGTAGAAGCACCTATTTAGGTGCTTGTCAAACAACACATTGCTTTTTCATAGAAGCGCTACGAACAAGTGCTACTGACAAAATACTAGTGAGTAAAAACGCTTTATTGAGTAAAACTTTCAAACAAGCCGGCACCAAGCCAAGCCAAGCCAAAATGTATAATTGTAAATGTTGTGGAAGAAGAAGGGCATTCCTTTCCTGGTATGTTTGTGTTGACTCGACATTCAAAGTCATCTCCCAGCCAAAACCAGTGTAGTCTGTGAGGCTGGGCCACTCGCTGTTGCGTAGTCTCGGCCAATAAAAGAGAAGAAGAGAGACTGTGGACAGTGGAATAAGGGGGCCCATAATTGAAACGTAAATGAATGAGACGACGACGGACGCCAGCATGGACTTTCAGTCTTCTTCCCCCTCTATCTTGGACCATCTTGTGATATTTACTTACATGGCACGGCCACACCTCAGCGTTTCATGTCAATGATACGACATGATGAACGCAGACTAATGGCTTCATTCCTTTCGCACATTCATTCATTTGCATAAAAACTAGACCGTGTTATGATTGATTGCTAACATGGAAGGAAAACTAATGTGTAATTATGCCATTGCCTAGAGGAGTCGGCTTAAAGAACTAGAGGAGAAGCAGGCGTGCCCAAGACAACAGAATAAAAACTAGAGCGAACAATGTTGATGAAAATTAATCAACACTAATCCTAGGATAAAAGCATACACATACACAACCATGATATTATACTACATCTACATCCAATGAATTAGCACAACCATTGAAAGGCAAACCAGCAATATAGTACAAACTAGGTACTCGAGTCGAGGATAAGAGCAAAAGCCACAGATAAAACGTCAACGATAATGTAATCACATAAGACTGTAATTTTGTTAAGCAATAAACTGGATTGCTTTTATTTGAACAAAACAAAAATGAAACAATCAAAGAGTTGTTTTCAACACACTTTCCATAAAACTGGAACCGAAACACTCAAGTTTTGAACATACCAAAAATAGGCACCTTTATAAAATGGAGGGAAACAAGGTGTGAGGATCCAAAAGTTCTAACAGCTAAATCCTTGCGGGGAACAGGAGAAAATTAACAATGGAGCTTCATGCCCTTCCCCTACTTCGCCTGAGGGTGAGAAGAAATAAAGTCCACAGCCTGACCAATTGACTTGATCTTGTCAGCTTCATTATCGGGGATCTCAAACCCAAACTCCTCTTCCAGAGCCATCACAATCTCCACAGAATCTAAACTATCTAACCCCAGATCACTTTCAAAATGAGCATTTGGTGTAACCTACTCAAAAAAGAAAAACAGTGCATAGGAGATTAGATTATTTAAATATAATGAAAACACACTAACAAAATGGCCATATAAACGAAATCAGTATGAAATGTGAACGGAAAGGAACATGTACATAGAATTTCTGAGGTCAGTTGCGTATACATATATATTTGGATATAAAGAACGTCACATTTATTGTGATTTAAGTTCAAGGTGAAACATGCCATAAATGAAGGTGTGCATACATTAACATTAGAAAAGAAAAGGGAAAAGAACGGCTGAGGTTTGGTAATCACAACCACAGACAGATAAAAGCCAATTCACTTTTTGGTATCTCATATCCCAGCACTGGATGTCACTATCCGTCGGACTTTGGGACATTCACCATATATTGGTTACAACATGTAAGCCCCAACTCAAGCAAAACAATAACAAATACAAACAAGAAGGGGTCACATTGTTGTAGTTCAGACATTAATCCCATACAGAAACTCATGTAAAAGCAAAATAGAGGAATCCATTCAATTCTTTGTGTAAGGTCAAAGAAGAAAGACAAAAAGAATGTTTATGAAATATCAAACATTTACAACTTCTAAATAACATGCAAATACCAGAGATCAAACCCATCTTTATCAACAATGTTAGTCAATATTGTAATATTTGTGATTAAGTATATATTCCGGGAGGGCTATAGTTATCTCTGCCCGCATAGCTATTCTAGTTTAATGATGAAATATCTGATTCTCGAGGCCTCCAGTAATCCCGGAGGACCAAAAACTGCAATTTATAAAGAATATCTATCTGCGAAGCACTGAATAAGAAAACAAACACAACAAAGCTCCATTGCAAAATTTGAGCAAAATTAAGGCGAAATTTTTCTCTGCCTGTGCACTTTAGTTTGTCATGAAAACAATAGTGTGTAAAAATTGAATAATCAATGAGCCACTGCTGATGCATTGGAAGAACCATCATCCCAAAATGTTTACAAACCCAAATAGCAATATTTCAATCCGATTCCACATATAGGCGTACATTTCATGACCCAACGTTTGACATTACCAAAACCCTAATAATTCAATAGAACGGATCTTAGAATCAACTCCTCGATCACAAAATGATCTTCTTTTACAACAACAACAATCAAATAATTACTAGTTCAACCTTGCAATTCATTAGGAAATCGTTTCCATAAAACTTCAATTCCATTTTCTGAGAAAATCGGAGGTTATACCTTGGAAGGATCGACCTTCTGGAAGTTCTTGACAACGGAGACGACCCGATCGGTGACCTCAGACTTGTCGAGGAAGGTGCCCCTGACCTCCTCGGAGAAGAGACGGCGTCGGATAGCGGCAAAGGGGGATAGGAAGAGAGGGGCGGTGGAGCTAGGGTTCGAAGGCACGGTTTGAACTTGCACTCTCAGGTGCTTGAGTAGTAAGTTCCTCGCAGCCACCGCCATTGAGAGCCGTTTCTTCACTCGCCTCTACTGCTGCTTAGCTACAGTATACCAGTCGGTTCTACTGAATGAAGGAATGATACGAGAGGAAGGGGCGAGAGAGAGGAATGCCCTTTTCTGTTGTGTTGAGTGGGACCGGCAGAGAAGGAGAGAGCGTGTCAGACGTCGTCGTTTTTGTATTAACGTTGATTGGGTAAATGTGAGCTTTTCAGAGAGATAAAAACTTTCACCCTCCCTCCAAAGTCCAGACCCAAATTAAAGTTGGATTGGGCCGGAAAGGCAACCGAACAAGTAAGCAGCGGTATAACTGAACCGAACCCGATTTACCGCCAGCAGTAACTAATCTACTAGTATAGTCCTTCAATCCTTCCATCCTGCCTGGAGTGGAGGGGTGGAATGCTGAAGCGGTGTTGGAAGAAAAGTGAAGATGGCGGTGGTGGTGGTGGTGATGGTCTTCATTTCTCTGTTTCTGTTTGTTTTTCTAGCAGTCAAATTTGCCACACCGGCTGCTTGTAATGTACTTGGTGCGGTACATGCCAAGTATTGGTAATTGGCTCATGGACCAGGTGGTTTCTGTACCTCTCCGGTTTACTTGCGAGTTGCGAGTAGCATGAGTTTCCCTTTCTTTTTTGTCCCTTGCCTGCATTTCTCACACTGACTTGGAGTTGCTGGTTTTATACAATTTCTAGATTGGTGAGAATCGAGTCGAAGCAGCAGCACGCAAGGGCAACACTTACTCATTGAGCTTACTGTTTGGGAGAAACAAGGCATCATGGATCTTTTGATCTGGAGCTCTATCTTATCGTGTTTGGTTTAGCAGCAAGCATGAGCGATGTGAATGGGACTGAAAGGATACTCAGAAGGTTTAGTAGACAAATTTTGCTCAACACAAGTATAACATCGAAACTATGTCAGCAGAAAACATACAAATCATATTTAGTATTTACAATTCAAGCATTATGCAGATCATTAAGAATTAATTAATTACATCCTCTACTTTAATTAGCTACAGTCGCAGTCACTTTCATACTGTATTTGTACTTCAGGTAAGCTTTTATGTACGGCTCCAAATCACCATCCATTACCGAAGTGATATCCGATGTCTCGTGTCCCGTCCTTACGTCCTTGACGAGTTTGTATGGATGGAACACGTAGTTTCTTATTTGTTGGCCCCACTCTGCCTTCACCACATCTCCTCGTATTTGCTTAATTTCCGACGCCCTTTGTTCCTCGGCAATCACTAGCAGCTTGGCTTTCAACCTGGCTAGAGCCTTGATCTTGTTTGCAAGCTGGGATCTCTCCTCTGCATCGTAGTAGTCAAGAAAATAGATGTCATCACAAAGCTCGCATACTTCTTCATTATACTACACAATTCCAAAATGATAGCACAGTAGCTCCACACAGCGGATGCAAAATCAAAACGGAGCCAGAAACTTACATTCTTACGAAATCTACAAACAAAATTTTGAAAATATTTATTTGATGCAATGACGAGAGAAATAATTTCCAATGGTGAAAACCAACAAAGAAATTATGGGGCTAATGAAACCTGTGCAGCGAACAGTAACACCAGTGGGGATGTGAGTAATCCGGACAGCACTTTCAATTTTGTTCACATTCTGGCCTCCTTTTCCGCCTGCCCTTGAAAAACTTATGTCCAGGTCCTCTTCAGGTAATTCAACTTTCAAGGACTCCTCAGGTAGAAGTGGCATGACGTCAACACCAGAGAAACTTGTCTGCACATAACATCAAGTTAGAACACACAGTATAGGATATGTTGTGTTAACTCTGTCTCCCTCCCATTCGCCCCCCGCCCCCACCCAACACACACACACACAGTTACACTTTCAGTAGTAATTTTTAAGAAACTAGTTATGCACCTAACGCTGTTCAACTTAACAAACTTGACGTGTGTCAGCTCTCCACATATGGAAAACCCTCTTCCCTCATAATCAGTTTCTGTAATTAAATGTTCCGTAATTCATAGTTTACCAGAAGGTTCGCCCATACCTGGCGGAGACCTTTGGCATTGAAAGGGGACTGCCTTACAATGCGGTGTGTTCCTTTCTCCCCCGACAAATACCCATAAGCATAACGGCCTTCTACTTCAATTGTCGCCGACTTAATTCCAGCTTCCTCTCCCTGGGATTTCTCAACTACTCGTGTCTTGTATCTCTGCTTTTCTGCCCACCTCACATACATTCTGAGTAACATTTCGGCCCAATCCTGCACTGAGAATTATCAAAGGTTTTATACAAGAAAAACATAAGCATGTAATAAAGAGGCTAACAAAACCACAGAACTGAATAGAAGTCAACACAAAGAATGAATAGTGGATGGTAATGGTGAATTCAGTAATTGCTGAAACAAAAGCCTCACTATCCCCATGCAGTATTCTCAAAATAAACTACTTTTGGCCAGGTATGAATGAGATAGATGTGTCTTAATTCTAAAAGAAATTCATTCATGAGAAATGCAATATGTTTTATTGTAATGGCGTTACAGCACCTACATATGCATCTCACAGAATCTAAAACTCCCATCGAACTTATAAGACCCATAAAGAACTAGTCGCTCTTGCTTTGCACATATTTTCTAATTACCTGTGCATCAGTACCTCCAGCACCGGCAGTAATAAAGATAACAGCACCTTCTTTGTCGTAAGGCCCAGAAAGAAGTTGAGTTAACTCAAACCTATCCATCCCCTTGTTCAATTCCTTGATGATACTGGCGGCCTCTTCAAGAAGTCCATGATCTATGGAGTCCATCTCTTCAGTAAGCTTGACTATTGTTTCTACATCTTCAACCTGCATTGAATGAATTTGATTCACAATGCAATTTAAGAGGAGCTCACTTTCTGATATTCAATATTTGTAAATGATATACGTATGCAGAGTAAATTAGCAAAAGATCTCCTACTAGACAGTATCATTTTGTACTCCTAATAAAACTGCCCACGTCATATCACCGTATCACACTTCAAGCACAACCAATTATCCAGAAAAACAACGACGTTGCCATGTCACCCCAAAGAAACGATGCGAAAACAATATTCTAAACAGAATTAAAGAAATTGGGCAAAGACCTGTGATTTAAACTCGTTCAGCAATTTTATCCTGTCTTTGACATCAGTCAGGGCCGAAAGGTTTTCTTGAGCCTTAGCTCGATCATCCCAAAAGGTGGTATCAGCTGCTTTCAATTCTAAATCGGCTACTTCTTGTTCTAACTTGTGCAGACAAGCAGAGTCCCTTATCTCCTTGACGCGTATAGCAGCAGTTTCTACATCCTTTCTTAAGAAATAAAAATCTGTGAGACAATAGAAGAAATTACAACATTGTCACTGATTGATGTGCAAATGAAAGTAGCACCATCCTACACCAAGCATGCTCTCATTCAAATCAAACTTGGAAAACACTCAAAACGGACCTTGCATTGCCCATTCTTTTGCTTCGGTGCTCACTTGGCTCTCCGGCGTCGCCAGTAAAACTGAGTCAAACCAAACATCAAATTCAATTCGGCATTCATTCTCTACAGTACATAAACAATAAAGACATCAAATAAAAAGTGTTTTGCTTTCGGTAACGACCTGTGAAATGCACCACCTTAAAACCGTCAAACTCGAATTTTTCAAAGACGAAGCATGGGAAATCAAAGCAAGTATACCAGAAGCCCAAAACAGAAAATTAAAGAATTTCAATTATCTTATAGTCACATGAATAAATAACTGGAAAGTGGAAACCCATCAAATTAATGAGATATGTAAAACCAATTGCAAATTTGCAATCACACACTCGCAAAAACGGAAAAATAGAACAACCCCAATATATTATCCCATAAATAAATTGCACCATAAAGCTCAAGGAATGGAAACGCAAAGAGAGAACCTGCAGGACGAAGCGGATAAGAGGTAGAAAGCTTTGCAGATAAAGGGAAAGTGTAGGAGGGTAAACGGCAAGGAGAAACAGTGGCCTTTTGCAGTAACAGTGGCAGCTTAGTAATTAGAGGCTTGGAGGGGCACAAGATGGCCGTTGAGCTGCACACAGGTCGAAGATGACGCTCCATAGCTGCTGTGTTGCTGATACAAGAAGTTCAAGCTCTGCAAAAAACCAACATATTTTTATGACTCCATTTGGATGGATAACAAAGAAAACCCGCCTAGCTTGTACGCTGTGGGTGACGTGTGGTGGTGTTCGGGACCAAATTGCAATAACAAGTCTCTCTAGTTTACTTGAATTTTCACATTCTTTCCTGTAGGTAACTACTTTTGTTTACATTTTCATCCTCCTAGTTTCGTTTTGATTACGCTTACTCCGAATTGTTTACATTTTCTTCCCTCCTTTCACCAATATCCAAATGAAAAAAAAAAATTCCAACAAAAATATAAAAAAATCAAGAGAATATCAAACGGGCTCAGAAGTTTGCACAGATTGATAACATTTCAGCCCAATACAAGTAGAAAATGCGAAATGGGCTAAAATTGGTTCAGAACCCTATACCCATTAACCTCTTTGGACATCACAAAAAAAGCCCTAAGGACAAAACCGGCATAAAAAATAATTATAAAATTAGGGTTTCATCTCGTATATAGCCTCCTTGCCTCAACATCCAACTCCGACTTTCAGAGACAACTCGCAGCCTCCAGCACGCAGCAAGCAACAAGCAAAAAGCAAAATGGTACGTTTGTTTTCACCCTTACTTGTGCGCACATGTTGCTCTTCACTGGAACTTGTGGTTTTGTTGGCTAAATTTGCATGTACAAATTTGATAAGCGGAGCACTGCAGAAACCATACTTGTATATATTGAAATTGGCAGTGGAAGGAAATGCATATTTGATACCGAATCCACTAATATACTGTGGTGTGTATCTATTATCATATAAATTATAGGAAAAGATGAAGTGTGTTCATCTCTTCTTTATCCTCAATTTAGATATATACAAATTTGATGCAGGTTTGCACCGTAGATGTGAACATATCATTACAGTATACTTTGTTTTAGATTTGAAGATTTTCGCTTATTAGTTTATTGGATTTTGTATTTTTTAAGATTTTTTCTCAATGCTTCTCGTTTGTTGTAAACCGTTGTACATAGTTTTGTGATTGTTTCTTAATCTCTGGTAGTCTGGTTCTAAAATTCCGTTACTAATTTTATTCTAAAATTTGAACCAGAGGGTAATATTTCGAGGTCGCAGAATAGTGTGACTTTCATTTTACTATCGATTTCGTGGTAGATGAAACACGGTGTTTTCATATGAAGCGTCTGACAGTGTTTTGTATAATACTCTTTGTTGGTGTTTTGTATCCTTCTACCAGTCTTTTATAATAATGTTAAAAAGTAATTGAGTCGCTAAGAATCTGGATCTGCTATAATTCTGTTTGAGTAATTGATAATAGATGTTGAAACATGTGAACATACGTGCCTTATTTAGATGTAAATTTCCGAATGTATATTGGTCTATAATGTTTATACTATGTGTGTGCACCAACAGCCGAAGCAGATCCATGAGATTAAGGATTTCCTTCTAACCGCAAGAAGGAAGGATGCCCGCAATGTCAAAATCAAGAGGACCAAGGATGCTGTCAAGTTCAAGGTTCGGTGCTCCAAGTACCTTTACACACTTTGTGTGTTTGATTCCGAGAAGGCCAACAAGTTGAAGCAATCTCTTCCTCCAGGTATAAATTTTTGTGATCGCTGGTGTAATTTATTATGGTGGGCAACTCATACTAGTCTATTCCTATTGTGATGTTGCCATTGTGCATGTTTTGGTTGTGGAGCACGGTGGATTCATTATTTCATCCTGCAGAATGAGTAGTTTGTGTTGAATCGGGGGACTTTCATCTGTTACTTTTTTTTTCTTTCTATAAGCTCACCCACAGTTAAAACTAATCAATTTTAAAAAAAAATTTGATTTGTAGGTTTGAACGTTCAGGATCTTTGAACCAGGATTTTGGAGTGGCTCGTCGGCACATTCTAGTGAATGTAGCAATGGAATGAAATCTAATTTTGCTTGTACTTTGAAAGATTTTTATGGCCGGATGATGTTGGTGTTAGATGTTATAACTCCGAGATGTTTGTGGTTAATGTGTGTTGACTTGAGTTAATTGTTTAGATGTTTTGGTTATGGATCCATCGGGTTTGCGTTTGCGTGATTGCGTTTGCGTTTGGAGTTTACAGCTAACAGTTTTGAAAGGAAATGGAATTGGAAACAGAAACAGCGGTGGCTACCTACATAAACATGTCGTGAGCGAATGATAAGGCGTAGAAGATGAGTAGTAATAGTAATTGTCCAATATATTGGTGGATAGGTTTGTACCTATGCGTCTCTTGTTCAAATTTTGAAATTCCTATTTCTTAAATTTTTGTGATAGATTTGAACTCTTTCCTCTCTCCTTAATAAAATAAAATGTAAAAAAAATATATAGTAGATGAGTATATGCTTCTAGGATGCCGCAGTGTGATTTTCGTTTGGCATGTGCTTCTAAGATGTCGTAGTCTGTAGTGTGTAGGACGAGTAGCATTGAGTTGAATTGGCAGTGGAGGTGCCGTGCTTGGACCGTTAGGTACAACAACTCGACCATTGAGACAAAGGAGGAAGAAGGCATAAAACAAATGCAAGAGCTTACTTCCTTCAATATTCCACTTGAAGCCATTTTTTAGCTCATTCCCAATAACGGACTCATCCATCATTTCTGCACACAACATGTGAAAGTGAAACCAAACTCAAAATTATCCTTGGCTTGAGGCTTGAGGCTTGAGGATTTGAATATTCCTTCCTTCAATATTCACTTGAAACAAATGCAAGAGCTCATTCCCAATAACGGACTCATCCATCATTTCTGCACACAACATTATACAATTACGTTCGGTACTTGTCACTTTGACTCACTCTGCATACCTTGAGCTAGAGGAGACGACAAGACAAGAGAACACGGGCAACCAATATCCATGCCAGGCCAGTGCTTCTGCCCCTGTTTCGACTTTGAACATGACAACCGCACCTCCTCTCAAACGGAGGTGGAGGTGGAGCCGGTGCTGCTGGTGTCGGGCATCGGAGGCTCCATTCTGCACTCCAGGAGGAGGAAGTTGGGCTTCGACACACGGGTCTGGGTCCGGATCTTATTGGCTGACTTGGAGTTCAAGAAGAAGCTCTGGTCTATCTACAATCCCCAAACAGGTTGCTTTCTCTATTTATATATTTTTCGAAACTGAGAACCTTGTTTTGGGTCGGTGGCAATTGGGAAACCAAACCAAAATGCATGCAGGAAAGAGAGACAAGACACTAGACAGACTAGTGTGGGATTTTGTCAATCATCTCATCTCTCACTGTTTGCTTGCTGGATTCTTCTGGGATTGGGAAGAGACCATGCATGACATGATACTTTTAGTTATTGTTAAGATTTACCGTTTCATTGCTAAGACATCTTCACTTGTATTCTACTGGGACGAGACCATGCAAACATGTTTCGACTTTCATCTATCATGTCACCATTTCATTCAAAATTTATGAGCCAAGTCAAAATTTTATTTCAAGAGCTATCATTTTCCTTCAAGATTAGTTTGTATGATCTGCTCATAAACATGAATGAAGCATCAAATCCAACCGCCACCAGGTTGGTTTCCTACCGTTTGTATCGTGGAAGATGGCTAAAACATGTTATTCTAGCTAAATTACAGATCAATTTTGCATCTGTTATCATTTTCTTACTTTTCCTTTCATGTTCTACTTCTGTGTAGAATCAGCCTCTTACTAGACTCATTTGCGTTCCCAGGTTATACAGAAACGCTAGACAAGGAAACTGAAATTGTGGTCCCAGATGACGATTACGGCCTGTATGCCATTGATATTCTGGATCCTTCCTGGGTAAGAATGATACTTGTCCCCATGGATATTTTCATAGTTTGGTTATGACATCACTGAATTAAAGCTTATTATATTATGTTTCTTCATGTTTCCAGTTTGTCAAATTGATACGTTTGAAAGAGGTGTACCAGTTCCATGATATGATTGATATGCTTGTCGAGTGTGGGTATAAGAAGGGAACCACTTTGTTTGGATACGGATATGATTTTCGACAAAGCACTAGGTAACTTTTTTTCGGCTGGTTACTGTTTTTTTCTTTTGGTGGCTAGAGTTTCTATAGTAAATGTATGCAAGCAACCATTTCTGGTATTTGAACTATCACAACAATGTCTGACAATTTGGTTCTTTGTTTCCAATAATCTGACCACCGTGGGTATTATGTTGGCAGAATTGACAAGTCAATGGAGGGTCTTAAGGTGAAACTGGAAACTGCTTACAAGGCTTCTGGGGGTAGAAAAGTAAATATAATTTCGCATTCAATGGGTGGACTGCTAGTCACATGTTTTATGTCACTCCATACTGATGTGCGCATACTTTCTCTTGGTGACTAGTTGAAGTTTATGAATTTTCATCAAAATATGGAGAAAATATAAACTCCTCTTCTCACTAGAGGCAAATCGTTCTTCGGCAGGTATTTTCAAAGTACGTGAGTAAATGGATCTGCATAGCTTGCCCTTTTCAAGGTAGTTCCTTTTATGCCATTCGTCTTCGTATTTGGACTACATAATCTTTAATGTATGTCAGCGGTACTTATTGGAATCTGTCCATTGAATCTTCTCAGGTAGCTAGAAAACCATACTATGCATTCCCTTTCAGCCTCTTTTGATTAACATCTCTTTAATCTTCTTAGACTGGGAGTCAAAGCATTTGACAATACCGCAATATTTGTGTTTTCATCCCTGATTGTTGATTATGAATTAAATTCAAATTACAGGTGCACCAGGATGCATCAATGATTCTCTCTTAACTGGATTACAGTTTGTTGAAGGCTTGGGAAGTTACTTTTTTGTATCAAGGTGGACTATGCACCAGCTGGTAATACGTTAAATTAAGCTAATTTGGCTTCATGACTGTATTTAAACTAGATAATTGGAAAGTTAATTATGCGATCATCTTTCTTGGCAACCTAGTATCTTAAATGGAAGCATGACATGCTGTGAATGAGTCTGTATATATTAGAAAATACAAATGAAAGACTAGAAGTGACAAAAAACACATGAAGGCTGAGTTTCTCTGGGAAACGCACCCTTCAGCTGATCTGATCCAATTCAATACGCTCTAACCGTGTATAAGAAAATCTCCAACATATTTCACAATGGAACCTAGAAATCACTTGGTTTAAACACTTGAACACCATAAAGAATTTCTCAATGCCGTTCTTGAAATATGTAATTGACTTGCATACCTATTTTCCTTTTTAAGGAAGTTGGGCATATCCCTCCAGCCAATCAAAATAATAAAGAAATTAATGTTCTTTATAGCATTTCATCCATAACAAGTATTTGGCTACATTTTTCAGTTCTTACTCTTTTTTATTCTACAAGATGTTGCTATTAGGAAGAACTAAACCTGAATAAATTTGTTTCTCATATAGTTGATTGAGTGTCCATCAATCTATGAGATGTTGGCAAATCCAAAATTTAATTGGAAAAGGCCGCCCGAAATTCAGGTTTGGAGGAACAAGTCTACGGATGGGGAAACCTTGGTTGATTTGGAGTCTTATGGCCCAATTGAAAGCATCCCCTTGTTTGAAGAAGCATTGAAATATAATGAGGTACCACTTTTCAGATTTTTCTTGCTACAAAACTATTTCATGTGCTTTGATTATTGAGGCATGTCTTGCTTTCTCGTGCGCTGTTGTACTGTATTTTGGAAAACAATTTTACATTTAATATAATTAAATCCAGTACTTATCAGAGCTCAAGAAGGATACACTATGCCAGCACTATAGACAACCTTATCTAGTAACACGTTTAATCATGTTGCCAATGCCAGTGGACAATAGTAGTTTCGGGATGCAATTGTTGTCCGGGTTTCGTCTCCCTGCACATTCTGATATCACCATGACTTCTCTCTCTCTCTCTTAATCAATAGCCAGAGCTTATGTCAATCTCTTTCAATGCAGCTAAATTATGATGGTGAAACGGTAGATTTGCCATTTAACTGTTCTATTCTCAGATGGGCTGCTGAGACTCGCCAAGTTTTGAACAGTGCTAAACTACCAGATAGCGTCAGCTTCTATAACGTATATGGCACATCGTTCGACACCCCTTTTGATGTTTGGTATGTAAGAGAACTACTTTATGAATTAGGAATACTTAAAAGGAATAGAAATCCAAAATAAGTAGCAGCTGGACCCATACTTAAATCAAAACAGGAAACATGTGAACAGGCTTTGCAATCCTTGGTATGACTGGTTGCTTAGTTGATACAGAGACCTTTATTATAGCACACAGGCAGAACTAAGTTTGCAATTGACTAGCAGAACTAATTTAAATGGAAATTCTCAGGGTTTGACATTGTGAAAAAAAAAAAAAAAAAAAATGGTTTGATGAATATACAATCTAGAAGGTGCACCATTCTGTTCCCTTCATAAGTTGTATCATTTCCCTATCAAGTTATGCAACTGTGAATTTGGTAGTGCATCTGACATATATATTTACTAATGCAGCTACGGTTCGGAGACAGCTCCAATTCAGGACCTGTCTGAAATATGCCATTCAATAGTGAGTTATTTACTGTTTGTGAAATCTTGAATTTTCAAAAAGTTGTGTGTGTAGGTATCCCATGGGTTCAAAGTCTTAAACAGCCTAGATCATACGTCCTTTGATTTCTGATCGCTGAAGTAGTCATTGGTCTGAAGCCTATCATAGTTAAAGAGAGTTGTACACGTGCACCTTTATTTTTGAAAATGTTAGGTCCCACGCTGTTCAACATTATCCAGACTCTGAAGCTATGATCTGCACTATTTTTATTCACCGTTACTCTCCCATTTCTTGTTATTTCCCTTACGTACATTTATACGCATCAACCCTTGACTCTTATTCCCTGTTTTGCTTGCACCTCTAACTTCTGATTAATCCAGTTGCTGCTTTATCCAGCTACTAATCAAATAGTAGCATCCAGTTTTGACAAAGATTATGTACCCCTGGGATGTTAATGCTTTTATGACCTGTCCTCTTTATGATTTACACGATTTCTTTCTTTCCAGCCTCAGTATTCTTATGTGGATGGAGATGAAACAGTTCCGGCTGAGTCAGCAAAGGTGCTCTATCCGACCTATGATCCCAGTGTTAATATATATGCTCTCTTCAATAGTTCCTGCTAAGTTTTATTTGCAAAGTATTATTATGGTTTCAGAATTTGAGCGAATTTGTTCGAACTTTCTATCTTAATTACTATCAAACAGGCGGATGGATTTGCTGCAGTGGAAAGAGTAGCAATAGCTGCAAGGCACCGTGAACTATTACGGGACAAAACAGTTTTTCAACATATCCTAAGGTGGTTGGGAGTCGAACAGAAGGTCAGCAGACATTCTAAGACATCAAGAGTTGCAGACGCCTCTTCAAATAAGCGTGCTTGAAAATTGAAGGAAATTCTGTGTTCAAATTATGACTATAATAGCACCTTAGAATTGTACTGAATACTGTGCTTTTTAGCATTATTTGTTATTTGAGTACTGTATGTATACTTGTATAGTATTCTTGGCGTGCATGTTAATTTCATTGAGTGGTGGCGTGTGATATTAAATTTAAATCACATTTACATACGCTATACTATATATGAATGAATTTTGCCACGGAAAATATGTTTTGTCGATCTTGTATTCTTGCAATTGGCCTGCAGCTGGCTAGCTACCAAGTACCAAGTGAAGGTATAGATTGTGTGTCTTTTTCATTTTCCTTTTTAACCTGAAGGACAAAAAATGAGGCCCCCCTCTCCTCCTCGCAAATTTGTAAATTGCAAGTTCTTGCACAAGTCACAGTGGTAAATATACAAATCCTTTACCCGGCTAACTAGTAGTAGATGATCAATTAAAGCTGTAAAGGGCTGATTTTGCTGATTTGAAGGTGAACCACAATGTCAAGATAACATTACACTTGATCATTCATAATTAAACACGCTAAACTAAAAACTTTGGAAGAACATCATGCAAGCTTAATTTACGCTTAATGAACTTTATTAATAATAAGAACAAGAGGCGGTAGCAATATTGTAAATAAGTTAAAGCTTGAAGGCGGAGGTAGTATTATAAAATAAGTTGAAGTTTCGTGGTGCAGGCAATTGTTTCTTAAGAAACAGTCGGTTATGAAAAAATGACTCCACCCATAGGTCAACATATTTATGCCACCAGCTCCAGACTAACTTATATACAATAATGTCACTGCCTCTTATTTTTGTCCTTATTATCAAAAAAAAAAAAAAATTATTAAAAATGTGTGAAGTCCTTTTCATTAACCTTTTTTCCTTTCGTCCTAATGAACTTCCTTAATTTCTTTTATATATAAAAATTATAATTGTGATGGTGTTTTTTATAATTTACTAAAAATTTAAGAACCACTCTTCTTTTGTTGGGTTTGCAGGAACATGTGCACTTAACGCTTGGCTCATTGCTTCATTGGTGGTGTTGTGTACTGTAATATGAAACTTTTGAGTGTAAATGTTTGCAGTGTTAAATATTAATTGCCATCCAAGTTCGTAGGGAAAAACAAGGATGGATACATTAAGCCTGCCTACCCAAATAATCAATCCAAGTATGCAACTAGGGGTAACCACGTAAAACTAGAATCTCATATATGATATATACATGTTCAGGTCAGGAGTCAAGGGGGAGGAGGTGGTTCACGTGGGAAGACAGCCACCTTCAGTCACACGCAAAAGCATGTTCCCATCCATGCTATGTCTATATATATATATATATATTTATTTATTTATTTATGTAATTGTTATTGACATTTCAAATTCTTTATTCTACATTCCAAACTTTCTATATTTAGAAAGAAAAATATACTTATGAGAAGTGTAAAATGATATTTTTTAAGTACCAATAACACTTCCCTATATATATATATATATATATATATATTTATAAATTCAAGTTCATGCATGCATGCACTTCTAAATAAATATATAGAGAGAGTATGTATTAATAATTAATTGGCACCTATATAATTACGCATGGTGAGGAAGGAAGAAGATCAACTCGGCGCCGGAGTACCAATTAGTGACAACCAACACTTAAATCCAAGATATATATAGCTGTGCTTCCAAATTCAACTTCAACCGCAAGAAATATATCTAAAGAAGCTTTAGTTATAACTTAAGGAATCCCAAGTACTTTTTAAATGAAATTTGTAAATCAAATAATGTACTTGTTGATAATCGAATTATTACTTAAACGTTGATTAACGTGCTTATTTTTTTTATTATTAATAAATTATTTAATTTACAAATTTAATTTAAAATTTTAATCTTTCGAACATTATTATTTTTTTCTTATTTTATTTATTATTATTATATTATTCAAGAGAAGACAGGGGAGAGGGATGTGGAACGAAGAGATGGTGCATGGTAATGGTGTGGTCAAAGGTCAAAAAGGTTTGAATCCCAAACACAGTTTTTATTTATTTACTGGCTAGGGTTTGGAGTTTCGATGTGAATTTTCTATACATTAATAATTAATTAGCTAAGAAAATAATTTAGAGAGGAGAGCGGACCACCCCCCCCCAACCAAAAGAGCCGCGGGAGAAAAGTAAGAGACGAGAATGAGCATTCCTAGAACCTGTTAGCTTATGGGATGATTCTATTTGTATTTGTATTTGGAGGAGATAAGTAAGAACCGTATCCCCTCCTGATTCAAAGGAACTGAGTCTAAGGATTAAATAATCTGGATAATTGAAATTTGATCAAACGACTACAATTATTATAACTTTTAGAAAAATTTTCTTTTTGTAGCCGTTAGATCAAATTTCAATGTTCCAGAGGAGATATGGTTCCATAAGTAAGAGTCTGTCTCACAGACACGCATGAGGCATCCATGCAGCAGCAGCACACTGCAGGTGCAGGGTTTAATAATTTATTACGAAGCTTTCGACTAGATTCTGAATTTGGTTCAATCTTAACATAATTGATATTTAAAAGGATAATGCTAGAATGATCAAAATTTTAAATTAATTGATGTGTCATCAATCGAAAATTAGTATTTTAATAAATAATTAACTAGTAATCCAATCATCAACATCTACCTTATTTGGTTCACAAAACATAGTTTAGAAATTTGATCTCTCTAACATTATCATATTTAAAATGATAAAATGACAGTTCATATTATCCTATAATATTACAAGATTAGATGGTGAAAGTTTTTATTATTCTATCTATATATAAGGTCATTACTAGGCCATCTTTTTAGCCACTCGCATACAATTATTTTAATTTTATTAGTATTTATTGTTTAATTTATTCAAATTAATGGCTAAAATGAATAAAGGTGTGTGCGAAGTTTAAAAAAAATTGAGTGAATGATGTTTTATGTAAACCTAATATATAAGGAGAATAAAAAGAGTATGATTCTTTCTCTTCTAAATTCTACTCCTCTTCCTTTCCTTATTATTTGAACGGTCACGATCGTCAAGTCAACATTCATTTTGTGTTGATTTCTTTATGAAAATAAAAAAAAACAAAAAAGAAAGGAGGAAAGGAGAGAAAATTTTTAGGGAATAGAATCCTATTATAAACAACAGGGCAAGACCGCATGGTTTGGGAAGAAAAGAATATAGGAACGAGGAGGGGTTGGATCCTCTTTAGTTGTAACTAGACTTTATGCACACGCTCACCAGCGTGCAAAAGACATTTTTTGAATCACGACGTACTACGCGGTACTTAGACATTTTAAATGTATTTATATGAGTAAATTGACAAAAGAAAAGTTAAATATTTGAAGTAAATGAATAATCTTATATCATGCTAGAATAAACCCCTCATAAACCAATTAAAGCAACTGAATCCACATAATAAAATCTGTCTCTATTGAATTTATATTAAGAATAGAGAAAATAATATTTAATAAACAACTTATTGAATCACATTATTACTAGTCACTGTGAAACTAAGCTCACACTCTTCCCCTTAGTGTAGATAATATTGCTTGTTAAAATAAAATAAAAAAATAATCATTTAACAACTAATTTAATCACACTATTATCCATGTGCGAAAGATTTTTTTATAACTGGCATTAGACACCTCTTAAGATGTTTGAATGTGTTTAAAAATAGAGAAAATAATAACAACTGATTGAATCACATTATTGCTAGCTTATTGTGAGGTACTAATTATTAAAATAAAATATATATAAAAAAACTGTATAAAAAATTTTAATTATTAAAAAAATGCTGTTAAAATGATGAAAATACCCCTACCATATTTAATGCATTATTTTGGATTGCTTTTGAAGTTTTTTATTTAAAAAGTATTTTTGTTCATTTTTTTATGAAACTTGCGACACAAAAAAACACTATTCATTAATCCCTTGAATTTATATATAAAGATAACAAAAGTCTTACCTTTCCTCAGGTGATGTGGAATTAAAGCTCTTCATTAATGGGGGCCTAAGGCCGGGGTTGTAACATTTGCTGCATGCCATTTACCCAAAAAAGAAATATTTTTGCATGGATAAGGGTGCGGGAGAGAGAGAGATCTACGCTGTGGTTGTGGGGGGATTTTGTGGTATTATATCCAAGAAGGCACGGGTGCTCCGCTGATTTCTCCAATGCAATCCCAGTTCCCACGGGGGCTTTGGCTTGGCTCTCTTTGAAACCAAAATTGATAAAATATTTCTATAAATAAACATCTCCTCGATTTTCATGCCACATTATTATTTTTCTTATTTGTCGTGTATATATCTCCATGTTACTCTTGTTAATTCCCTTTGTACAAAGGTAATGTTAAGTAAATTAAAGAGTGTATTTTTGTTCATAATTAAGAATTATGATGTACGGTCATCATACATGTCATTATCTGACATCATTGGCAGAGCCAAGCCAAGTACAAGGCCCTTGAGCTATAACATAGGGAGAGTTTTGATTTTTTAACATTAAAAATATTAAGCTTTTGGGATATTAGATGATTTTTAATAAACATATTCTACTTAACAAATGAAAATTTTAAATCTCATGGTTGGGCGCTTTGAAGGCTAGAAGCCTAAAAAACATAGTACAATTTTTTTGCTTCAAATTATTGCTTTCAAGTTTGCTATTATATAACTTTACGTAGGCAACAAAAGATTAAAATTTGATTTCATAGTAATAATTATAACTTAGCCCACCAACCGAATAATTCATGGCTACACCATTGTCTGACACTCGTCCTTTCACTTAACCATAGTTATTTTTTTTTTTCAAAATTAGAAAAGGAACGTTTAATAATAAAGTTAACCATAGTTAGTTGAAAGGACACGTGTCAGATAATGAGGTGTATGATGAGCATACACCAGAGTTCTAAATTTACAAACTAAATAATGTGTCCTCAATAAGAAAAAAGTGTGGTAATCAACACCTAAATAATAATTTAGTCATCAACTTCCTGTCATTAAGTTTACAAAATTTAATCTACACATTTGATCTCCCTAGCATTACTCTTTATATAATCATCCATTGAATTTTGTTAAGGGTGCTAGAGAGACTAAATCTGTAGACAAAATTAACTAAATGACATAGAAGTTGATGATTGAATTATTACTTTAAATATTGACTAATGTGCTTTTTTTTTTATTGGTAACACATCATTTAATTTGCAAATTTAATTTATAAATCTAGTTTACCTAGCATTAGTCTTTTGTTGATTCATCGTGGAACTACTAACTACAAAAGTGCATGCATGCATGGATAATGAAATGTGTTTTCGTCGAATTCTCTTTCCAATTTATGATGAATATTTGTTATTAAACCTTGTTATTAAGCATTGTTGTCCACAAAACGGCCAAAGGTGAAATAATCCACATTTCACGTTGTGTATGTTTTGATGATCTCTTACCCAAAACCCTACGAGAACAACACTTCCCAACTAATGTAACTGATTGTGTATAAATTCACGTAATTCAATTATTTTGGTCATCTCTTCACATAGAGATTAATTTGTATGAAACACTACTAGAAGAGTTAAAACTCCATCGACCTTTGCATCAAATGTATGAAATACATGTGTTATTCAAAACTGCAAAGCTAAGTAGAGATGCTATTTCTGAATTCAGATAGACTCTTGCAAAATTTGCATAGAGGACTCTACTGCAAATTAAGTTAGTAACAAAAGACCAAATTAACAAAATGCCTATCTTCCCCACCTAAGTAGGTGATCATCATCTAGTAACTAGCACAGATGCAGAATGAAAAATCAAAATTAGGAAATTCGTTCCATATTTATACATCCTTTTCTTAATCCCCATCCTAATATACCAGACCAGTAGTACGTCCTCCCTTCGACCGTCCATCCATTTGAAACGTATACGCGTTAATTTGTGTCATTCCAGACTGTGAAAGGAGCCATATTGTTAGTAGATGTTGGAACTGCTATTGGCACCCAATTGTTATACTCGCTGCTTCCCTTCGCTACGCCTACTGATGAAACTGATGATGACTGCGGCGCCTGAACCGGAAGATAATACAAGCTCTTTGCATGATTATAAGCATCCGCAGCGGTAGTAGTACTACTTGAGCCAAACACATTTTCATAACCTAGCGCCGCTTTCACCTGATCATGATCGGAACTGCCATCTCCAAAAGCATTACTATTATTCTCATGACCATTAGCTATAACCGTCCCCATAGGGATCATATAGCCACCGTGATCTCCGGCAGTAGTACCATTATATATGACAGAATTAGAACCTGAGCTATGTTCCATAGAATCCGTTGTAGTACTATTTCCCAGGAGGTTGACTGGCTGAAGGAAATTGTGGGTACTTCCCAACTGAAGTAGTTGATGATGATGAAGATCTTGATGATGATAATCTTGCGGCTGATAAAAGCTTTGAGAATTAGTGTCTTGCTCTTGCTTGCACCAAACCCTCTGCCCGCCATTAGAATTATATGGCACTGATGAGTAATAAGGCATCCCAAAAGGCGGGGCCACGGCCTGATGAGCAGCGGCGGCGGCGGCCTGGGTCAATGCAAGAGTTGGCCAGACGTTATTTACGCTCATTCCATGATGATCGCCATTTATCAGTTGCTGATGATATTGATCGTGACAATTACTAGTACTAGTACTACGAGTCATCATCATCAGCTTTTCGCGTTGATCGTCCGTCGCTGATCTGTGGTGTCCGTCAGCCAGTAGAGTCATCTCATGCTGATGCTGGTGATGTGCCTGCTCAACGTCTTTCAGTCGCTTCGCAGCACCATTAATGGGCAATGTGCTGCTCTCCAGAATCGACTTCACGTCGTATCTAGTCATGTCAAAGTTTGTTACTGCATTTAGTCCCCGGAATTTTATGGCTGCGATGTCATACGCCTCTGCTGCTTCCTCCTGAGTACCTATATATATATATATATATGTGGAAATTCATTAGGAAATTATAAAGTAAAAAAGCTAGTTATCATCAGCACCTTAATTAATTTCAAGGTCAAATTAAAACTAACATTGCAGGAAAAAGAAATTGAACTTACTGAAGGTTCCCAGGTAAAGATCTTTGTTCCCTGCTACCCTTCCAATCCTTGCTTGCCATCTCCCATGCTGGTGGTGTCTGTTGCACATGCAACCAAATTAATTACATGAACAAACTATACATATGTAATATTTAGGGCTTACTTGTTACATGCATATGAATACCGATCTTCACATTGATGACTGAATGCTACTCACAATTGGTGCCTCCATGCATTTTCAAATCAAAATCATATTTAATTGCGTCACATGCATACTCTGTTGCATTACCTTGTTACTCCTCGATAAATGGATGCACCACGAGAAAACCCACTACTCTTCCTGCAGCAAGAAAATTCATGGAGTACATATAATTAAATCGGCAATTTCATTATAATTAATTGGCTCCAAAGCGAATTATAATTGATGGCATAGTTTTTAGATATGATGCCACTAGCTTCATGGTCATTTATATATTTGTATGTATTTACGTACCTTCGCAAAGATGCAACAAATTCCTGTCTTGTCATGTGCTTCATTTCGTCTACCTCTTTCTCATAGTTGCTAATCTGGTATTATTTCAAATTATCGAAAATATTAGAAAACTCAGAGGTTATCCATCTCATGATTATTAGATAATAATCAATCAAAGCCATGCATGCATCTATAACATCACAAGATTCACAACGGCGAACAATATATGATTAATGATACTTAATTTTCTGGGATTAACTTGCGTAAATATTTGACACTTCCCTCCCTATATATTAAGGATACTTAATATCAGTTGGGACTTGGGCGTGTATACAGTATATAGAAATATTTTTTAATATATAGTCGAAACACGTTCCCCAGTTTCCAAGCTAACCTAAGTGCGCATGTCAATATCAATGGCCCACATTGAGCAGATTTTGTTGCACAAACAAAATAGGCAACATGATCGATCGACATACATGAATCCTTTTAATTATTTGTTCGAATAGTGGGAACTCTTTCTTTAATTTTTTCTTTTTTTACGTTTTATAACTCACCGGGAAGTTTGTAGTGGTTGTGGTACCCCAATATTTCAATGCTGCTAGGTCATAAGCTCTTGCTGCCTTTTCTTCCTTGTCATAACCACCTATGGATTATGGATTTAATTAATTATTCAGTTTGATCATAGAAAAAGGCAGATCCGGAAAGGGGAAAAAATCATGTGAAGAAAGGCATTGACCTTTAAACTGTACGTACCCAGATAAACTGCAAATTAAAGAGGATTGAGATGGAAAGGCGGCCCAGATCAAGAAACGCACAAAAGAAACGCAGCACTATTAGTTAAAGAAAAACATGATATGCATGATGCGTCTTTAATTAAATAAATCAATAAACTAAACTTGAAACGAAATAATCTTATATATTTTTTTCCTAAAAGATCCAACAATTAAATTAAAATGGATTATGTACCTTGCCTTCCCTTCCGAGTTTGTCCCTCTCTTCGGCAACTATTATCCCACAAATGAGCTTCATATCTACCAGTCCATCTGTGCCTGTGTGTACGCATAGATTGAAAAAAGTAGAACCTTAATTATTTAAAACATTAATTAGACCCCCAAAATCCAAAAATTAATTAAAATAGTAAATGAAGAAATAAGATAAAATTATTTATTTATATAGTTACCTGGTTACACCACGGTATATAGAAGTTCTCTGCCCAAATGTATCAATGGACTTTCTGGGCACAGCCTCAATAGCAGTAGAAGTACTAGTCTGGCTATCGATCCCAGACTGAGTAGTGGTTACAGCGGCAGTCTGCTTATTATTATCTCGATCTGACGAACAGGTTTGATCTCCAGCAGTGGTAGCACCTGCAGTACTCATAGAAAGCGATAGAGTCTGTGCGCTGGTAGTACTAGCGGTAGTACTCATCGAAAGCGATAGAGTCTGTGCGCTGGTAGTACTAGCGGTAGTACTAGTACTTGTGTTGGAGACACCGATGCCATTGATATCGTTTTTGTTCATCTCTTGCTGCTGGGGTGCCGGTTGATTCCTCAGCCACGTCTTGATCATTGAAAGCCCAATATTCGAGCTGCTACTGTTGTTATTAATGTCCCCGCCTGGACCGTCTCCGTTGATGACATCTGTGGGACCGGCACTCTCTAATGGAAGCTGCAAAGAAGAGACGGTTCTGGAGAAGATGTAGTCAGTAGTACTAGTACTGGCAGTGTTATTATTGTATCCATGCGCAGAATTAGTGCTACTCTGGATGTGATCGTGATGATCCGCAATGAAAGAGTGTCGGCCCAGGAAGTTTTCGAGCTTTGGCTGTTGATGATGACGATTATGATGGTTTTCAAGGTTTAGGGTATTGCATGAGTTACTTCTTCCCATCAGCATAGATAGGTGGTCTGATGTGATCTTGTAGTTGGTGCTATCCGATGAGTTCATGTTCCAATCTGCACCTGCTAAAATATGGTAGCTAGAACCAATTAACAATTAATTATTAAAATTTACAACTTAATTTTTACGAATGATGAAAACTAGCTCCAGGACAAAAGAAATAGAAGAAAAAGTCATTCATCCAAAAAACAAAAAAGAAAAAGAAATCAGAAACGAACGTGTTTGTATGGATGGAAGGAAGGGGGTAGACAAACCTTGGGAGTTGAACGCAGCTTGATGAAGCATTCCAAAAGATGGAGGGAGCTGGTTGAGGGAATGATGCTTAGGAGCAGTAGTAGTGGCGGATGAGTCGTCATGAGAATTAGTGAGATCAAAGCAGTCGCCGGAGGCATCGGTACCGGAGATTTCATCAGAGTAATTGAAGCCGAAGCGAGAGACTGGTGTGGTGGTCTGGTCAGATAAGTCATGAAGATCTTGGCCGTGCTGATGACGACGACGATCAGCACCCTCGGATATCATTGGATCAGCCGGAACTACTTCTTGAGGGGAAAGAGAGAACCCCAACCAGTTCATGGAACCCATCTCAAATGATTTGAGTTAAAGAAAAGAGATGATCAGACAACTAGTACTCCATGCATGAAGAAGAAGAAAAAGAAGATCAAGTGGCCAACTGGTTAAGGAACAACTATTGTTTAAAGAGAGAAGACAGAGGCTCCATTTCCATGGCGGTATGTGGGACTCATAGAGAGGAGGAAAGGTCAAAAATTTGCAGACCTAGAATCAATTGAAAATGACTATCATTTCTTCCTAAGCATTTATATACAAAGTTTTTAACACTCGCTCTCTTTCCTTTCCACTTCTTTCACACGTACGGCCTCCTCGACCTCTTACACATGTATAAATAACGAGCATTAAAGAGATTAATTGTGAGACCTATTCTATATCAAATTTTAAAGATCTGAATTGTTGACTTTGTAAGTCTTGATTCATATGTCATCTTTGCAAAAAAGTCATTTGCGTATTTAATTATTACAATAAAATTTCATTGATTCTTATACAACAAAGTATTCGTCAATTTCTTTGAACTCAATTAAATATGTCAAATATTTTGCAAGTATGATCTAAAAGGTGCAACTTGAAAAATAAAAGGTTCAGATCGTTGAAGTTCGATATGATATGGGTCCCACAACTATTCTTCATTTTAAAAAAAAAATAGATATCCCTTTCTCTTAAAAGTCTGCTATAAATGATAAACACAACATCCTTTTTATACGCTTCTTTTTAATTATACTCGTTAAATTCATTTGATATATCCAATTTAATAATTAAAATTACAAAAAGATGTGTGAAAAGCTTATAAAATACAAGAGCAAGATCTTTTATTTGATTTATAAGATTAACGACAATAGGACGTTGGGGGTGGTGTGGAGCTGGGTGATACTGTAATTTTGCATTAAATCTTAGTTAACTAGTTAATATCCAAAAACACAAAATGACGTATCGGTGGATTGGAATTTGGACTTTCTTTTCCATCTTTCGTCCTGATGAGATCCAATCATTTATTTGAGTCTAGCTTAGGTTTTCCATGTTACTTTAAATGAGTTAGATACCTATGTATAAGAATTAGGGAATTTGAGTTTAATATTTATAATACTACTGTTATATTATTGTTAGTTCAATAATTGTGAGAGCTATATTCTAGAACCCAATCGTTTGATAGTATCACATTCACGAGTTTAAAATATAGTTTAATCACACTCAAAATTTTCAACTCATTGTAAAAATGTGATTTCTATATGAACTCAATATATTGGTGTCACACTCCCTTTTTCCAACCTATTGTGAAGGATCTTAAAACAATAATATCACCAATATGTTTAAGTACACACACAAATGAAAATCAGATGCCAAACGCGCTGAATAAGTTAACAAATCAATTCATACATTTTTTTTTATATATATATAATTAGACCTATGTACCAAGAATTGCTTGCTAAGCATTGACTGACAGATGAGAAATTAACAATACTAATAAAAAGGTACACGTCCGAGAGTAAGAAAAAAAAAATATTATTGAATTTGATTTTTAATATTTTAAATGAACTCCATTACAATTGTTTACTACTTAGAATGAATGTATAAACTAATTAAACCTTTTAGGTGTTCGTATATCCATAATTGGTAGTGTATCCATCAAGTGGAGCCTATTATATGTGGATGCTAGATAGTTCAAATTAATTAGTTGCTATAATCATAGGAGATTATGAGACTGGCTAACACATGCATGGGTCTCATATTATATACATACATACATACATATAGATATATATATATATATATATATATATATTAATTAATATACATGCAGACTATGACCATGAGTGCTCTCGTAATCTTAAAACAAAGGGGAAGAGATTCCTTCTCCCACCAAATTCTAGGGATCCGGAGATCTTGGCTCTTAAAATTTGATCCAACGGCTACAAACGTAGAACCTCTCTAAAAATTATAATAATTGTAATCATTTAATCAAATTTCAAGAGTCTAGATCTCTGTATCCTTAGAATTTGGTGGGAGAGATCCGGAGGGGATCTCTTCCCAAAACAAAGTAGTCACATATAGATATTACATATTACATTGTTCCGTTCTTGCAAGCTGTCCATGACCACATTTCCTTTTCCACTTGTCCTCTTGAAATATATTATCTTTGTTAATTCTTGTAAATGGTGAATTTGTTTTGGCATATAATGTTTTTTCTTCAACTCATTGTATTTTAAGTTCAAAATTTTTTTTCTTTAATCTAGATTAGAATATTAATATTTCTTTTCAATAAAGAAAAAAGTATATATATTGGGTCCATGTTTAATGTTACGATTTGTTTTAGCTGTTAGATACAATTTCTATACAACGCCGGTTAGATATTCTATTTTCAATCTTACCCATTCATTTTTCTTATCATTTAATACTATGTAGCATTGAAGAATTTTCCATATGTTACATGTATTTGGTTAATAATCTCTCTCTCTCTCTCTCTCTCTCTCTAACTTTTCTCATGTGATGCATGATTAGTATCTCTATTAATCCAATCCTTCATACCAAACAAGGCCTATATGTGTACACACCAATTAATATCTCAAAATTCACTTAATTGGTGCTTCTTGTAGGAAGCAGTTCAAATATTTTTTTCCAGAATTAACTTGCATTTTTATTAATAATTATTTTCTAAAACTTTTTTTTTTTAAAACCCTTTCAGTCATTTAAAAGGATTTTCCAAACGAGTGTAATCAACGAGATATTCTCAACCATTTGTGGGAGAGGGATGCTCTCATGTCTGCTCTCTAATCTTGGGCGACCCATATATTTCAGTCATTTCTCTAATTGTTCACTAAAAGAAAAAAAATCACAAAATTTTTATGCTTTCTTTTATTTTACCAAACCTAAAATCTCTCCCTTCTCTTCTCTTCTCTCACAAAATTCACTTACTTTCTTTTATTTTTTCTTCAACTCATTGTATTTTAAGTTTAAATATTTTTTCTTTAATCTAGATTAGAATAGGGAATTATTATTGGTACTCCAAAAATCTCATTTTGCACTCCAAACTTTCTATAATTAGAAAGAAAAATACACTTGTGATGAGTGTAGGATGAGATTTTTGGAGTGCTAATAACAATTACCTTAGAATATTAATATTCTTTTCAATAAAGAAAAAAGTATATATACTAGGTCCAGCTTTAATGTTACGATTTGTTTTAGTTGTTAGATACAATTTCTATACAACATTTGTTAGATATTCTAATTTTTCATCTTACTCATTTATTTTTCTTATCATTTAATACTACGTAGCATTGAAATTTTTTCCATATGGTGCATGTATTTGGTTAATAATCTCTCTCTCTCTAACTTTTCTCATGTGATGCATGACAGTAACTCTATATGTCTTTCTCTCTTTAATTTGCTTGTTGTGAAAAACCTGTTCGTACGTAGTAGAATCTCTCTCTAGCAATATCCCCTTCCACCAAAGCTTAACTTTTCTTTCTCTCATTTTTTTTGGTACTATCTTTCTCTCATTTTCGTTTCATTATGTTTCACTGCAATTAGCATTGCATTGCCCTGCCGCTGCCTCTGCCTCGGCCCATGCCTGCAGCACATCTGCCTTCTCTCTCTTCTTCTTTTACTTTCTGACTCTGAGTCTCTGCTGCTTACAAACAAATACACCCATAACTTTTTCACATTCCATCCAACCATGTCACATTATTTAACTATATATTATCCCCTCGTCCTAATCATAGATCTGCTCCCCCGGCCCGCTTCAAACGGGGGTCTCTCTATCTCTTTGTCTACCTTTATCTACTATCTCGCCATATATACTTATATCATGTATGCATATATGAATATGACTCACACGCTTGTAAAAAAAAAAAAAAAAAAGAAGAAGAACACTGTTAGTTTGATTAGTGCAGACAATTAGAGAAAGTTAGGCGGAGATATGGGATGAAATCCTTAAGTAGTCTTAATTATTGTATAAGGAATATATATAGTGAAAGAAAAACAACAATATATGTGTATATGGCATGCAGCCAGCTAGCAGAGATATTGTATGAGAGAGAGGCTTGAAGCCTGCACCCCCATGCGAGGACATTAACCCTTGTCTTCCGGGTGGGTCTGCGAGTCTGATGAGTTTGATTATAATTTCATTCTCTTTCAATAATTTAGTCATTTTTGAAAGGGACAGATCGATTGCCAGAAAATCTAACTCCTATTCCTATACTATATATATCTCTCAATTATACTCACTCAGGCTTTCAAATCCATTTTTCTCAGATATACACTTCCCTTTCATTTTCAGTGCTTTTTGTCAATTCTGCCTCTCAGTCCCCCTACCTCTCCTTATTATATTTTCCACTGAACTCCATGGTATCATTTTCTTCATCCTGCACGTACGTACGCATATATCTCCAATAGAAATACACGAAGAAGAGTATATTCTTAGATATATATGTACAATACGTATATATATACACACACACACACATATATGCATGTATTTTCAAAATTTGAATTTAGGGTTAGGGTGCAGAGAGTGACAGAGTGAGAAAGAATGAATAAATACTTAAAGCGGGGGGTGGGTGGGTGGGGTGTAGGTGGTGCTGAAAGGAAGAGAGAGAGAGAGAGAGAGAGAGAGAGAGATTCACCTCGAAAGCTTCGAAAGACACCTTCCTATAAGTTTGACCATCAAGGAAGGAAGGAACCAAAGACGGTAAAACGCATGGCCCTATACCATTTTTAAAAAATAATTTATTTTATCAACATAAGTTAACAATTATTAATCAAAGCCTGTTACCACCGTAAAAATTTAATAAAAAGAAAAAAAGCTCTCGGTAATCTAAATCATCATCATTCCTAACCTTACCTTTAGCCCCCTTCTTAGACAGAGAAAATCATGTAAAGGAAATTTTAGAGAGAGAGAGAGTATGACTTTTGACCTAGAACTACTGAGCAATGTGGCAATCTTTTGGTTAGGGTCGGCAAAATGACAACGCTAAATAGAGCATTATTTATTTAGTATTTGAACAAGAACGGCTTAAATTAGTTTTCAAATTTCACCGTCTTTTGTTTGAAATTACTGTTAGCTCCCCGTGGCCATGTCGAGTTATCGACCCATTGCCCACCCACGAGTTAAGTGAAGTGAATTACACTGTATAGTAGTCAAATATTGCTCAAGTAGTTTAATTGAAGACATGAGATACACATGGCAATGGCAACAC